CGGGAGGGTCTTCGGAGGGCTTCGGGAGAGCCTCGGAAGGATTTTTTCGTCGTCTTGGGGGGAGACCGGTCCCCCGGCGAACCCTTAGGGCTTTCGGACACTTTTAGGGCAACGGACACTGACAGAGACCGAACGATTCGGAGCTCCGCGCGGATGTTTCTCGGATCGGCGCTGGGCCCCCCCCCCCCCGCAGCGCCTCCGCGCGCGCCGGGGGGGGGGGGGATCCGGCGGGGATCCAAGAGATCCGCGCGGAGCGCCACGAGTGTATGTTTTTGGCGTCTTGTTTTGGCCAGGGGTTTTCGTTTCATTGTTGTTTGTTGTTGTGAGTGGGCGGAGTGGAGAGAGTCCAGCCTGGCAGGGATTGGGGCTGTGCGGCCCCCTTTGAGGTTCAAGGCTCCTCTTGATGGGGTCGGAGGATCTCGCCGCATCGCCGATACAGTGGAGACCCATGCAAAGAAGCACCCTGCTTGCGTCCAGGGTGCCCTGGGTTTCTGGGGTTTCGATAGTTCTGCCATGGGGAGCGTGCCGTTCACACACGCCAGAAATCGCTAGACGTCCTGGGCTCGCAGGGTTGGGTTTCGTGTGTAAGGTTTCTTGCGGACGGGCCTCCACTGTATGCGTCGCCGATGCGGCTCGATGTGGAGCCCGATTTGCTTCACGTCGACATCGCCGGTGCATCGCCCACGTCGACGAGGCATCGCCGGTGCATCGCCGATGCATCGCCGATGCATCGCCGATACATCGCCGATGTATCGGCGATGCGGCGCGATCCTCCGACCCCATCTACAGTCAACCCGCAGAGCAAGGATGGGCAACCTGCCCAAGGGTACCCTTGCACCCTTGCCTCCTCGGTCCATCCTTGGCCACTTTCGTTGGCCGCGCCCCGTTCGAAACGCTTCGAAGTGGGCGTCCAAGGCCCTTGCATCCTTCTCGCGCATCCTTCTGATACCAGGCCGACTGTACTCCGACCCCATCTGGGAGGCCTCTAAAGATAGAGTCAGTACGGACAGTACAGTGGAGACCCATGCCAAGAAACACCCTGCTTGCCTCAAGGGTGCCCTGGCTTCCTTGGGTTTCGATGGTTGCTTCTGCCGTGGAGAGCGCGACGCTCCTACACCAGAAATCAATGGATGCCTTGGGGCCTCAGGGTTGGGTTTCGTGTGGAAGGTTTCTTGTGGACTGGCCTAAGGATGGGCGACACCCCAGGGTTACCCTTCAGTCGGGCCCGTCCCTCTACAGGAGGAATATCCAAAAATAGTTTGAAAAATAGTCCAGGGACTGAGTATTTTTTGACCATCTGGGAGTTTTTGTCGTATCTTTAATCTTTTGTCGAAAATCTCCCTGTAGGACACGCCCGGCTTAGGGTTACCCGTGCACTCCTTCCACTCTGGCCCATCCTCGGCCACGCTCGCTGGCCCCACGCGCCGCCCGAGGAGAGTCGGGCAGGGCCGTCCGAGGCCCCCTTGGCATCTTCACGTCGCGCATCCTTGCCATTTTAGACGGGCGCGTCCCTCCACGGGAGGAGAGTTCAAAAATAGTCAAACAACAGTCTGGGGACGATGTTTCGATCATTTTTCAACTGTGTTTGATTCTTGTTTCAATCTTTTTCGCGCGTGGACTGCCGTCCTGGCTGGTCTCCCCGGGCCCCCAGAGCAGTCTGGGACGGTAACATGAACTTGTGGCGCTCCGCGCGGATTTCTTGGATCCGCGCTGGGCCCTCCTCCTCCCTGGCGCGCGGAGCGCGCCACGGGCGGCGCCGGAGCCGCCGGGCGGGCGCCAGGGAGGGGGATCCAGCGCGGATCCAAGAAATCCGAGCGGAGCGCCAAAAGTATACGTTTATGTTTTTGTTCTTCCTTTTTCCCAGACCCCGGCGTTCTTTCTGGCGGCGGGGTGGGGTGTTGAGACTGCCCTACCCGGGGGCTGTGTGGAAGCCAGCCAGCACAGCCTCCCGCTGCTGCCCGTGCGCATGCCCAAGCTTTGCCAGCACGGCCCGTGGAGCGGGCAGCGTGACGCAGCGCCGAGGCTGCGCAAGGCCCTCTGCATCTTCGACTCAGGGACCACGGGCGCAACGATGACGCGCGAGCTGCACAGCGCGTACTTCTCGCTGGCGGGGGAGATTGCGCGGCGGCGGCCGGAGTTGGGCTTCACGCGCGCCCGGCGGCTGGAGTTCGTCTTCGAGCTGCAGAGCGGTCGGGAGCTTGTCCTGGACATGTGCATGGGGCGGCACCCCTCCTACGGGCTCGGGCTGGACATCGTGACGCCGATCGACGAGGTCGCCTGGGCGGGCGTCGGCGACAGGGAGTCGCTGGCGAGCTACCGGCAGCCCGCGGCCACTGGCGGCGTCGCAGCGCAGCCGCGGCCCTTCGACGACGTGGCCTTCCTCGGCCTCGGCTTCCTGGTGGGCCGCAGCATGGCCGTCGACACCGAGCGCGGCCTCCTGACCGTGACGGCGCGCGTGGGCCCGGCCGCAGGCGGCGGCGGGGCGCCCGCGCGCGCCTGAGGCGGTCGCACTGCTGGCAGCGCCGAGGTCGGGGAAACGTAAGGCGAAGTCGGGCATGTCTCTGTACAGGAGGAATATTTCGGGGGCGGCAACGAGGGGAGTGATGACTAGGGGGGGGTGGACATCATGGCGTGCCATGATATTTCCCCAGATCTCATGGCGCAACTTCTTCTTTTATTACGTCCCTGGCCCCCCCCCCCTGGGCCGCGCACATGCCGCTGGTCATGATTTGCACCCCCCCCTCTTGGACGCCCCCTTCTTGGCCGCCCCCGATTGTTCAAGAATAGTACAAAGATACGTTGGGTTTCTTAGTTAACGTGGGGGGTACCCCCCCGACGGGGGTCAACCTCGCCTCGTCGTCGCGCCGCGACGGGGGTCGGAGCGCCTTCGGCGCGCGGTGGCTGCCTGCGACGGGACTCGATGCGGGGCTGTCGGCGGGGGTGACGCCCCCCCGACGTTTGTTAAGGAATTCGGAGTAGTCTGGTGTCGTTTGCTCGTGCCCTTCTGACTATCGTGGATTACTTGTGGACTTTTTTTAACATGTGTCATAAATCCACCTGTAGGAGGAAATGCCCGACCTAAACGTAAGACTCGAGTGCACCGGAACTCGGGTTTGCCGACGCTGTTTGACGAGCGCGTCCCCGATTCTGACGGTCCAGTTTTCGTGGGATGGCGGCAGCGGGAGTTGGCGTACCAAATTTCAGGCTGGGTCGTCAGCTTCACGGTGGCCCCGTCAGTCACCACCCACCAAACCACCACAACCCAACCCGAAGGCCTCAATTTGCTTTTCATTTCCAGTTGGGGGGGTCGGGGAACATTGAAAAAACACATGTGGAACCCGTACCCCCCCTCAAACCCGAAATTGAGGTCTTCGGGTTGGGTTGGGGTGGTCTGGCAGGCAGTCAGTCAGGCCAGCCCGGATCCCCCGAGCCCGAGTCCTGCGTCTCCCCAACAAGGGGTTCCCCACCAGGGGCGTCACCAGCTCCTCCTGAGGGCGTCACCAGCGGCGTCACCTAGGCCGCGTGGCAGGTTTCTCGCATCGGCCAGACCCCGCTCCCCTGAGTTAACGGGCGAAGAACGGTACAAAATAAACTTTTTCGCCGTCGGGGACACCTGCCCCAGGGCGGCTGAAAAGTTTATACCCTTACGGTGGCACCGTAGGGGTATAAACTTTCCAGCCGCCCAGGGGCAGGTGTCCCCGACGGCGAAAAAGTTTATGTTAGACCGGTCTTCGCTCGCTGACTGAGGTGTGTGAGCCCGGCCCACGGCCTCAGGGTACCTCCGCGGCAATCCTCCGGAGGATCGAGGCTCCAGGGTCGCAGCTCGAAGAGTTTCTGTCGACGCGCGGGGTCGTGCAGGTCGGCGGCGGGCGAGGGGGGGAGAGAGAAGGAGAAGGCCTTCTCAGAAGGCTCGGGAGCCCTCTGGCCTTCCGAGAAGTATTCTGAGCCGGCCCCGAATACATATATATATATAGAGAGAGAGAGAGAGAGAGAGAGAGATTCCTATTCATATACTTTTATAGGGCCGGGGACCCCGGACGGACCCCGGACGGAGCCCCCCCCCCAAAACGAGTTTCGGCCTTCCCCGAGATTTACGGGCGGTCCGAGAGGCGCCCCAGACGGTCCGAGATACTCCCAAGAGGGGTCCACGAGCGCTCGAAGACAGCCCAAGAGCGCTCCAAGGAACCCCAAGACCGCCCAAGACCGCCCAAGGGGGTCCCGAGACGCCCCAAGAGGCCTCCAAGAGGCTCCCCAAGAGGGCCCCAAGAGGGACATGTCATTGATTTTTGTATGGTTTTCAGGTTTGTTTCTGCTTCTCCCTTTTTCGGGCCAACATCAGCCCGAACCGGCCCAAGAGGCTCCAAAGATCGCCCCAAGATCCCAAGAGGCCTCCCAAAGAGCCCGAACACGATCCAAGAGAGTCCCAGGACAGCCCAAGAGGGCTCCAAGACGGGCCCACGAGAGCCACAAGAGCGCCCAAAGAGGCACCCAAGAGGGCCCCAAGACGCCGCCAGGAGAGCCCCACGACGGCCAAAGGCCTCCAAGACGCCCCAAGACGACCCAAAAGGGCCCCGAGACGACCCAAGAGAACCCCAACAGGGCCTTAAAAGGGATCCACAAGGGCCCCAAGAACACTCCCAAGAGGCCCCAAAACGCTACATAACACCAGGGCTCCCAACACTGAGCTCCCATGGTACCCCCAGAAGCCTTTCAATATTTCCTTTCCTCCATCCTTCTTCTCCCCGTCTCCCTCCTTCTCTTCCCCGTTATCCTCCTGTTCCTCCTCCTTCTATGTATACTCTCTGCTCCTCCTTCTCTCAGCCTCCTCCTCCTCGTATGTTTCGCTCCTTCTGCTCCTCCTCCTCCTCTTCCTCCTCCTCCTGATCCCTTTCATGTTCCTCTTCCCCACCCCGTCAAGATTCTAGCAACCCTTTTTTTCCTCTCTCTCCCACTTCTGTTCTGCGGAGTCCTTCCGCAGTAATGATGTTTACGCTGACAGTGACGACGGTTGGATGATGACGATGATTGCGATGACGATGGCGAGGATCGGACGAGGATGGATAGTGTGGCGAACGAGATCCATTTGCATTATCATGGTGATTATAACCATGCTCAGTCTGGCGATGGTGGTGGTCATGATGACGATGATGGTATGACGGCGACGACGACGCTGCTGCTAATGAGGTTAATTTGTACGGGATGTGGGTGATTATGCTGAGGATGATGATGCTGATGATGACGATGACGACGATGTTGATGAAGATGGTGCTGCTGATGATGATCGTGGTGACGATGATGGCGATGGTGGTGGTGGTGATGATGATGCTGGTGCTGGCGCTGGCGCTGATGATGAAGCTGGTGAGAATGAGGCGGAGGAGGATGAGGATGATGATGAGGAGGAGAAAGAGGACGAATCTGATGATGAGTACTAATACATGTAATGTCATCCCGCCTGCTTGCTCAACTTGAAGGACCATGGTAGTCTGGCCACTTTAACCTGAGACCCTCGCACCTTTGAGTTGTCAGATGCCCGGAACAGCTGGTCGGGCCACTACCGTTTGAGATACGTCTGTGTATGCGCACACATGGTTACACAGACCATTGGCATACACATGTACATACCCATACATACATACATTTAGATGTACATGTGCAATATGTTTTCATAGGCGCATGCGCGTGCACATGTACGCACACACGCACCCCGTTAACGTGCGAAGCTCTAAAGGACCAAGGTGCATGGCGCTCAGCGCCAGTGCAGTCTTGTATACATATATATGTATATATGTATGTGTATATAAATACACATCTATTTGTATATATATATAGAGAGATTCTCCGAAGGCCGAAGGGCTTCTGAGAAGTCCCGCCGCCATCTGAGATCCTTCTCATGTTCCCCCCTCTTTTGCCGCCGATCAGGGAGCCGTGGAGGGCTTGGGAGGCCCCACTTCGCCGAGGGAGCTGCGCTTTTCCTAGAGGAAGTGGCGCCCCCCCCCCCCCCCCAGGGGGTGACCCCCCTTGTGGCGCCAGCCCCGAAAACGCAACAGATCACGGGCACGATGCGTGCACTGCGATTGTTTTCTTATCCATGGTTTTACCGATCGGCGCGGGCCCTCGCACCATTCCCGCCCCCCCCCCCCCATGGCGTAGCTTTGGGGCTGTTCGGGGCGACTGATTCAAGCAGGTTGGGTCTCCCCCCTGGGACGCACTGCTGCAAACAGTTGCATACAGCAGAGGTCAGAAGCCAATCCCCCCCCTCCTTCCCCTTCCGCCCAACATCGAAACGCCGAATGATACAAAAGATTAGCATACTTGAGCAGGAGGCAGCGCTAAGTGGGGATAGGCTCAGGGAGCGGGTGCATCGGCCCACAACCGCCCATCCATCGACGACAGGTGCCCAAGAGCCCATCTCTCCCAGGACCCAGGAACGTTCGGAGTTGCGATCGGGGGCCCATCGCCGATTTATCGGCGATGCATATTCGATTCCATGCCGATGCTCATCCTCCTGGGCGGGCCCGCTGGCCCTAGCGTCCTACCTTCGCACGCAAGGCTCGCGGCCGTCGGCGCGCGCACCTCGACGAAGAAACGAATCATCGGCACGAAGCATACATTCCTGACGATCGCCAGGGGGGTTGTTCAGATCAGGAGTTTGAACGTCCGAACTTGTAGTTCTGCGTTGTTGGGATATTCGGTACACCCGTGCATCCGTACACTGTACATCAGTACACATGTTTTACTACTACTACTACGACTACTACTACTACGACTACGACTACGACGACGACTACTACTACTACTACTACTACTACTACTACTACTACTACTACTATTACTACTGGTACTACTACTACTACTACTACTACTACTACTGCTACTACTACTACTACTATTACTACTACTACTACTACTACTACGACTACGACTACTACTACTACTACTACTACTACTACTACTACTACTACTACTACTACTACTACTACTACTACTACTACTACTACTACTACTACTACTACTACTACTACTACTACTACTACTACTACTACTACTACTACTACTACTACTACTACTACTACTACTACTACTACTACTACTACTACTACTACTACTACTACTACTACTACTACTACTACTACTACTACTACTACTACTACTACTACTACTACTACTACTACTACTACTACTACTACTACGACTACTACTACTACTACTACTACTACTACTACTACTACTACTACTACTACTACTACTACTACTACTACTACTACTACTACTACTACTACTACTACTACTACTACTACTACTACTACTACTACTACCTACTACTACTACTACCACTACTACTACGACTGCTACTACTACGACTACGACTACTACGGCTACTACTACTGCTACTACTACTACTACTACTACTACTACTACTACTACTACTACTACTACTACTACTACTACTACTACTACTACTACTACTACTACTACTACTACTACTACTACTACTACTAC